TTCACATGCGCACGAAGATCACGGAAAACCCAACAGTGGCATCATCAAGTGAAGCTCCCTGAAGGGAAAAAAACCGATAGGAACTAATTAGGAACTTCTCCGACCCATCAATTCAAGATATTGGTAACCACACTAGCCGACAAGAGGCGCTAATTGACACTCAACGCTGATCTAGTGTGATAATCTGAAGAGGACTTACTGACTGCTTCCCCGTCTGTCCTACAACCTGGCCAATTTGGTGACCAATTCACTTGGTCTGATGAAGCTTTTGTGTCAAAAGCGAAAATTTGCTCAAATAAAAACTACCGATTGTCTACCAACGGCTTCTGAAAAAATGGATGGGAGATTCATGTGTGAGTGTTTCCGGTCAAGGTTGCAAGTGGGATAAGAGGTTTTTGTGGTGCGTGATCTAGTGAGTGAAGCTGTGCTAGGCAAATTAAGGAAAGTTGGTTGAAAGAACAAGTTCCATATCCAATAATGTGTAACTGATGATGCCAAGGCTAGGGTTGCTTATTGTAAACCCGAGAACCGGGTTAGAGAAACCGGAACAGGTGGATCTAATAACTCTATATGAGCTTTTGTCGGCGTAAAATCAGGTGATTGATTAGCTTTGACTTCCAATATCCGATGCAGGTTCTTTGTCATGGCTTGACTGAAAGGCTGCTAGAAACACAGGGGTATTTCGCGCGCACCTGTTGCTCGGTAATTCGACACTAGCTGACCAATCGTTTAATATGATGAACTGCTACAGCATTAGAATGAGTGAGATGTTCTCGACATCGGAAGGCGAAACATTCGTTTAACTCAATCAAAAAGACTTCAGCCACCCTAAAGCCGTTAATTTGCATTCTGACAACCACCAAAAAAAGAAGCTGCTACACTTTTCTAGTTTTTTGCTTGTTCAAGCCCCATAGCGCCACATAATTATAAACTGTTCTATGAAAATTTACTGCAAACTAATCACGCTTGCCCGTGATCTGGCTGAATTCTATAAATAGATTTTCAAACCCGGCTTCTCCGAGCATTTTGATTGGGCAGATGTGCAAAAGTGCCAAAGTGCTGCTAATGTAGCCCAGTATCGATGAATATAGAGTTTCTGCAATTTATTTGCACTGGAGGCAGAGAAATGAAAGTTCATTATCATCGTCATTATCACGTTAGAGGGCTGTTTTCGAATACTATAGGTGTGACCGTTGACACGTTTGTTGGTAAAATGTAGAGAATCAGACATAGAGAGAGCTTCTATCCCAAAAATGGAGTTAATCAATAGTTAAAAACTAGGAGCACTTCACTGATGTGCTCATGAGACGTGAATCGATGAACTAAAGGATGAGAAGCCCTACGTCTAAGGTAGGAGTTATTCGAGGTACTGATCAGCGTACTGTTAAGTCTGTAGCAGTGAAGTGGTGGGTTCGAATCTCCGCAAATGGCTATGAGGAGCGTATCACTGGTTATCCGGAAAAATAATAAAACGGATGTACCGTGTGTACTTTTTCAGAATGGGTGCACTTCACTTAAAGAATTGAACTTATATCAAAATCGACACATTTTACACCCTTATTATACCCACAAATTCATGTGTAATACTTTATTTGGATAACGTTCTTTACATGATGATACATTTAAAGACGACTGGTTAACTGATTCAAGAGAGAAAGAACCGAGTAGCGAATGAGTAGCGAGTGAAAGAGAATAAAGTGAAAAAGAATAACTGACGGAGAATACCAGATGGATGCAATCGTAGTCTCGTTTACAAAAGCAATCATTTTAATTAAATGGGGATTTGTCTATACACTTGGGTAGGCCTTTCCCCAGAAACATTTATGCAATATTTCACGGGTGGTTCTTGCCGTTGGAACAATCGTGTTACGACTTCACTTTGGTCAATCGCTTTAATGGTTTGAAAGGCTCATCAAACTGCAGAAGAACCGTGCCAGCGACTTTGACGCGTATAATGCACAATCAAGACCGTAATATTCGAGATGGAATCCCATCTTACCAGTTGATTAATTTCATATATATAAGGCCCTGGGGTAGGTGAATGTCGGCTTGCCGAAACGGTCCCACATGGTTTCAAAGAATGAGCTGAAAAAACTTTAGTACAGTCCAGAAGAGACTGCCTACCCTCATATACGGCGGCAAAAATCACTAGGTTCGGGCGAAACTCTTTAATAATCCACAGTGAGGTCTTACACCTATAACTCGGAGGCCGCTTGAAGAGCTCCACGGATTGACCCATATATTGCAACCGCAAAAGCGTTGTTGTTGACAAATTTCCGATTTCTCTGTGTAATTCGGCCATCAAAATGCCTAGTGCTTTTGCTTTGTGCCGCGTCATCCCTTCAGGGGTCCTAACAGGATGAGAAAAAGGAGAACGATCCGATAACACGCTGCAGTTTGAGCAACTGCATATTGAGTTACACCATGTAGCTTGCTTTATATCCTCTTTTGTTTGTAGCCCTACCAAAATCTAGCTGTCTTCAGTAATGCTTACCACTCACCTAATGTTCCAGAGGTCGTTTCAGTAAAAATGTCCCAATTTCCCCGAAGAACACTTTACGCCTGGTTCATTCTACTCGGAGTGAAGAAATTAATATTGGTAATATACTGCTAGCAATACATCTTGCGCTTCTCTCTGCGTTAAGGTTGGTACTGCCGACGCATATATGCATGTACTTAGCATAACAGTGCGGGGCCACTTTAGAAAACCTGTAAGCGCTGTTCACCTGCTTCATCATGATGATCCACTGTGTATGCAGTGCGTCAGCTGATTTTGGATTGAGCAGTATCAACAATTTATCAACATGTATCAACATTTTATAAGTTATACATGATGCAAGTTTGCAAGTTCTGAGGAGAACTGAATAAGAACGTGCAGCCTGATACCCAGAATCATGAAGTCCGTAGTGTTTATACACAATCCCTGTGCATATGAAAACAAACTGGACTCATTTTTGCATAGTGACCTATGCCTATGATGGCAAGCAAGCACCACGCTGTCGTCTGCGCTAACGTTTGTCACCGCAGGACTGTCGTATCTGACTGCCCGCGATCGAATGGATCAAATTTAAGTAGGAATTTATTCATTTCTTCGTTGGCCTAAGGGGAGTGCCACTCCAGTGTTAAACAGTGGCTTTAGTTCACACAAACCCCAAAATAAACACGATTGTGCTAAACGGAATCGAACAGTTTCCTTGTTGTATTGACTTGTTCAGTCCGATTGGTTTGATTCACCTATGTTTTTGGAATCGCGTGGATCCTTTAGGAATTATCGAATAGCTTTCATTACCAGGGCACATTTCAAAGCATGCATAAACCTGCGGTTTAATAACTGATTGTGCACTAGATACACGAATGGCATTTAAATGGGACTGAGTACTCAACCTGAGCTGTTGTCCGTTCACTGGTCAAAGATTTCTGAGCCCTGAAATCACTAATTTTCCACGCAATCTTGGACGTTACAACTCTCCACCGTGCCACAATGTGAACCGTGTCCACCGGGACGACAACTCTACCATTTCCGTGATTACGGCTTCGGCTTACCTGCCCTAGTGAAATGTCGGACATAGCCGAAAAGGATCGTGTGATTAAAAGGCCCAATTTTATTACTTCTGTGGAAAAAATCTCAACTATAATCATTATTCGGAGCCACGAGTATGTTTCTCATAGAAGCAAGTCAGTTGTATGTGTGTATTATGGACTGAAATACAAAAGCTTCTTTGAGAAAATAGAACACCATGTCGAAGCAAGTTTTTGTTCCTCCACTTTGGAGCTTGCTTATTCCAGACGAAAATTTCACTCGCAGTTTGAATTGACAGATCCAATGCGATGATGAATGATGAATAAGTAAATTTTAGCCCTCTAGCGTAAATTTACGGCCCGAAAACCTAGCTAATAGCAGGTTATGTGATACGGAACTGCTCTGTTGTGGAGTAGAGCTAAGTGAAGTAAGTAAAATTCTGTCCTAATAAATATGTACCCTCTTCTGACCCTTCTCACAACTGAAGTGTATAGCATATGTTTTAAGCTTTCGCCTACTGCCACTTCGGTTTTTTAGAGGATTTCGCTAACAGAAAGGCAAGTTTTTTTTCCACTGTCTCCTGTGTAAAGACTATCAGCGGGCGATCACAACAGCACTTACCAAATTCCGGATATAACTTGCTCACACAGAATGGTGTTTTCCACCATTTCGTAATCTGCTGATCAAAGCTGTACTTTTTATGCCCTTAAAGCTGTCTCAACCAACAATTTTAAAGCACCTCTCTAGTTTGGCTGTTCACATAGCACCGTAATATCACAGTGACTCATTTTTACTTATTTCGGAATTAGAAAATGCTTGATAGTGAACTTAACTTTTCTCCCATGTAATTGTGTTGAGAGTTATTACATCCTTCTTACAGAAACTAGACATAACCTTGATGACCTGCTCCCAGGTGTACCCTTCTCGATGTACGTGCGGTAGCAAGTACGTCGGAAGAACCGCCGAACGGTCATCTACAAGGATTCGTGAGCACGCTTCAATGAACCTGACACTTGATTGTTCGAGCCCCGCCCACAATCGCTGGCCGCTTACTGGATTGAAACTAGTGTAGAGAAGAGTTATTTTCAGCATATAAACTATCAAAAGAGCAACTGTCTGTTAAGCTTTTCCGGAACAGCAACCATTTGACGCCACAAAACCAATTTATAGCTAGCCTTGCCCCGTTACACGTGACAACCTCGTACTTTTATCCAGCATGCTGCGGCTTCTGATGGAATGGTGGAATGCTTCCGCTGGCCTTGGCGTTTTCTGTTACATATCTGTTCGTTATTCCGTCTTAATTCGGATACTAAATGACTGCTCCAGATGCTCGTATAGTGAATTTTATCCTACGGCGACTCTTCCTCTCCTTTTTCATCAGGAGAGCATTTGAGAATTCATTCCTGATGAAGCTGTGAGGTTGAAAATTTACTGCCTCTTGCAGCGAGACTAGAGACAATAGATTATTGACGTTTGTCCATGAACATTATGAATTAACGATACCGAACACCAAGGATAACGCAAGAAGAGAAGCAACTAAGTTCACTTCCACATTTGAACTGGAAGCTTCAGGCAAAGCTGCAGAGGTGATTAATTTCCTTTTATCTTATGTAGCAAGTACCGATATAGCTGCCGCCGTGGATGGGATGGCAAGTCACAACCGCTTTACAGGAATCCAGTCGAACATTGACATGGTTGTGCCCACTGAGAAAGATGACTGTGTAGAGTGCCATCTCGAATTCCGGTGAGGTACCCAAAAACATGCTACCACGAGGCTTCGTTGATCCATCTTTCATGCGGAACGCCAAAGTAACAATTCGAGGTGGGTCACCGCATTGCTACAAGCAAACATCAAAAGATGCACTTTGTAGGCGAAAAGAAGACAGCTCTTGCGTTTGGAAATAAGGAGTAAAAACATTTTTTGTGCTTCTTCTTCGTGACCTCCATACCGATGTCAATATAAACAGTACTCCACAAAGCATCATTCAGTGAGACAAACTTTACTATTACTGTTGACATGTACTGTAGGAGGTTTTCGACGTAAAACACAACAAAAAACAGTAAAAAACAACAACGTAAAACGCACAACATCAATGACAGTGTCGTCCGTCCGCCTTCAATAGAATGACTATATGATAATCTCATGAAGGATATTTTCATACCCGGGCCTGGCCAAGAGTAAGTGCCAACAGCTGCCGTTAGTTTCCAGCAGAGAACTAGTATAATCACCTTTCTTCCGAAATGGAAACTTTGTCTATACCGAAAAGCACTGTAGAGAAAACGGTGGAGAACCAACTTTTACGTGGGAACCCCTAGTATTTGGCGAATGTTCCACAGTAACCTAAGGATTTAATAGGTGAATCGCCAAATGATTTGGACGTGCCTCTCAACCCGTCACGTTGGTTTATCCCTTTTCATTCATTGGCAGTTAATTTTCAATCGGTAAGACAGAAACGCGGAAAGGGACCAACACACAATGGCCATAAACTGGCTGACGAAGAACCAGTTTCTGTTAAAAGTATTCACGCTAATGATAAAGCCTTACGGGTCGGGCATATCATGCACAAAAGCCTAGAAAACACTTCGCGCCGAAAAGCTTTGGGTTAAACTTTTTAGATTTGTTCGATTCGTTACTATTCATCGTCTGACAAATACTTTGCTTGAAAGGTTTAGATCACCGGCTTTATCTTAGCAGCTGATGCTAAAGGTCAGAGAAGTCCATCGTTTCAGCACTAATGTTTCCGTAGAGTCTAAAGCTTCGCTGCTTGAGAGAGACGACTGAAGGAAAAATAAAAATAACACCAGGGCCTATTCAATCAGAATGCGAATTTCCTTGATGGTAGTGAAATTCTTCGTTATGAAGTGAATCCATCAACTAAAGTACATACTTATTTCTGCATTAAACTCAGTCATTTTAATTGTACTTTCCAGAGGTGCAAGGACTCACTTTTGCAAAGTATCCCTGATAATCCAAAACCCCAGAACTCTCCAGGCGTAAAAACTGAATCCAGTTATGAAACCCGGAAACTTCAGAACCCTTTTTCTCGCCCACGAAGACATGTTCGAATGCAGAGGAATCGTTATGCCTACGGAAGTAAAAGACGGAAAAAAAGATTGAAAGCCACGTATGGTTACATGAAATTATTCCTACTACAGCACAGCTAGCGATCAAGACCGCACGAAAATACTCCTCTAGCCTGATGGTATGACACGACGTTCTGTTTACGGAGAATGCGCTTCTGAGAAAAATTAAAGGTATTGTTCACCTGGAAATAGTACCCAAAACAAAGCAGGCAGGGCTGTAAAAAAGTTAAACATTTAACCGAAATGCGAATATGAGATTACGTGAGCGAAGTGCTTCCCGCTTGATTACTAGATGTTATATCTGCTGATTCGCCGTCTTGTGCTATCTGTTGCTAACCCGCTCCAGTGCCTATTGCCGGAGTAGGGAAGACAACCACTATATTCTGAACAAGCGAGTGAAAGAGCATGACTGCGTGCAAGTGCGAGAGCAAAAGTTGCAACGACCTCAGGTTATTTAACTTTCTGACTTTCTGACAATGATCCAGGCTGTCTGATGGGCTTTAGTGAACACCCATCAACATCGATCGTGCCTCAATGGCATGTCTGAACGCTGATCACATTCGGTCGTGCTTCTTTGGCGTGCATGAACACTCATCAGCTTTTGCTGTATTCATTGAATGATTGACTAGCCGGGATGTTTTCCGGCTTTCCTGTTGAGATTTTTGTGGAGCGGTAGGTTCCGGGCTTTCTGAGGTTACTTTCAGGAATCTGACCTTCCTGATACTAGAGATTTTGCTAGACGGAGGAATCGCAGCATAAAGCGTTCAAACTGTAGCAACTCTCCTCTTCAACGTGGTTATTAGGTGAAATTTTCTTAGAATAAAAATGCATAATATTCAGAATTTACGGAAGTGGCGAAACACCGGAATTCTCATGTTTGAGTGAAATTGAGAGTGATGTTACCCATAAAAATTGAGAAGTGTACCGCACAAATACCCCCTAATTCAATTTGTTATTATTGCTGTTCTTACAGAGTATGAAGCGCCATACCTTGATTCGGAATAAAGGAAAGTTGTTACAACCCCAGATCTCTTAAGCATTATTCCTGATGAGGATCTTTAAGTTTGGCTCGATTCACTCGTACCCAGAAGTAAGGAAAAACCCTAAGGTTATGAGATACAGCTCCGATAGACTTGAGAGAAAAGTCACTATAGGTGGAACATCGCTAACAGCATTGACTTGGCAAAGGTTCCCCTGAAAACTGTAATAAGCGGTTGTTCACTTTGACTTTGGTTCAACTTCAGTCAATGGTTAATGAAAGGTAAACATTTCTGGACGGAGTTCTATGTGCTTAACCGCGGTTCAAATTGTTCTGAGCTAGGTTGACCGCCTTTACGAGGAACATTTGTTCCTCGTATTCACTTGTCATTATCTGGGAATTGCGCGTCCCATTTGTGTCATGCCTCCATTACTCCTGTTCCGAAGGTTCTGAAGCTGATTTCAACTGACTAACTATGACCGATCTACGTATCATCCATTCTTGCTGGGTGATTTCTTCAGGTGTTCGCCGATCGCTAGAGCCAGAAACTGCAAATAACCTCACTCCAGCTTTCAGTCTAACATCGAGACGGTTGATTGAAAGCTACGTTGCTGTCACACTTCCTATTTCGTCACTCTTCAGAGACTGCTTCTAAACTCAACTTGATATTTGTTGATATCCTGAAGGCATTCGATTCGCTTTCTCACGACGTAATCATCAAATCTGTTAAGGTCTTTGGAGCACTATCACTTCAAGTTTGAGATATTGCACAGTCGCACGAGGATGCTGTAGAAGTTTTCCCAAGTTCCGAGGTTCACTTTCACAGAGGTGTGAGGAAGGGAGATCCACTCCCTCTACTATTATTCATCATGGCAGTGGACGAAGCTCTTGGATTGTCGACGCCGCAACTGGGATATCAATTCCACGACATCTTAATAGAAAGCCCTGTCCTGGCTGATGACTGAGTCTTGTGTGTAGAAGATTGGTCTTCCACTAAACAGAAACCTGAGGCTGCTGCGGTCCAGTTGGAAAGTGTTGGCCCGAATTTCATGAGGACATCAAAGGACCACTTTCTTAGTCGCACCGATTAGCTTCACCGCCAGTAAATAGAACAGTGTATAACACTCAACCAAAACATTTGGTGGGATATTAACTGTCCACCTGTTTTATGAGAAACATCGTCAGGGATCGACACAAGCGTCTGTCTCGCGAGCGCCCAATAAATGTGCGTATGAAATCTTTCGATTGATGAAATAATTTTGTTTAAGGACAGTGACATAAAAGTTATTTTTTGAAGGTTCCCAACACATTATATGACTAGGTGCATGGGTGTGACATTCAACACCCTCACTGAAACAGCGGTGTCAAACCGTAAACCTAAGCAGTGGACTTCAGAAGATTAAAATCTGTTGATGTCAAGAAAGGTCTAAGTAAGCTGTTCTAACATCCCAGCTTAACCATTTGAAAAATACCGAAGTCAGCAGACAGCTGTTTATATCTAAGACAACAACAGCCTCATAAAAGGCTAATATAGACAAAGGCTGGTGTCCAGTAGAAGAGAAGCTCCAAATATTTTGCTGCAATTTTGTTTTCTAGCCGGAATTATTTGCCATCCGTATTAATTGGTTTGACCATTCGACTCAAACCACAGAACTGCCTCGTCAGACTGTCTTGCCTTGGGAGGAGTCCTGATTTCACGCTATGCGCTTCCCTTAAAACTGCTACATCACCTCGCAAGACGCTTCATAATTCAGCCACATCGGTTGAAGACATGTAAATCAAGCGGAACAAAACGCTTTTCCTTCGATGACTTCTTATTAAAGCTCGAAAAGTGAATTTCTAACACAGTCTCAGAACTTATACAAATTGTCCCATCTATGGTGGTTTTCACGAGTCCATTCGTTTCTTCCTTCCTTTCCGTCAAATTTTTCTGAGAAAGCCTGGAGTAAGCATTCTTGAATGTACGTGCAAAACCACGCATTTATATTCTTTTTGCATTGGTTTTTTCCATCAAAACTTTTGAGAACTAGCATCCATTAATCTGGATTGCGGAAACAAGGCCTGTAATCCGTACTAGTCTCATTCAAGAATTTTCACCGTTTGCCTTCTATCGGTCTGTGGGAGATGTTTATTTAGATAGGATAGTCGGTCATTGTTGCACGAAGCGGGTGACATGAATGACGTTTACTCAAGGGATGGTGAGTATGTGACTTTATTTTGCAGTATCCCAATAATAAAAAGCCCATGAATTTGTGCAAAGTTGGCTCCGTAATACAATCAGACAATGTAGATAAATTGACCATTAGCCTGAAAAAGCCAAGGAGTCTCTCTCACTCGGTCATTGCTCGTGCGTAAAATTCGTATTTCCAAAAGTGCTGAATGCTTTCATTGTTAACAGTATTGCTTGCTTCGGAGTTCCTTATAAGTTGAACGCACTTTGTGAATGAGATGGTTACTGGGTACTCCGGCTAGCGATTAACTTTCTGTGCATTCATCCGGTCTGGAGCGCAAGAAGCTGATCACTGATTATTCGATAATGTCCTTCATTTTGCAGTACTCCTGCTCAGATTACGTAGGTTACTCCGTTTACTGATCAATCATTTGAAAATATGTTTACCAAATGGTCAGCGTTTGGGGATCTAGAAACGAACCTCATCGAGATCGTCTTTACAGACATACTTTATTGAGAAATTCAAATGAATGTGACAGTCATCTTTTCACTATCACGGTCATCCGATGAATGTTTCATAACACCGTATCTGGACTGTCACATATGTGACTGGTAGTAGTTTTGCTCTGGAATATTGAAAGTTTGCGTGCTAGGTGGACAGAACTGGACCTCTTCACTGAAACTACAGTTATATAAGAAATAAACGTGCCCATTTGGTCGCCTTAGGTTCTTTGGTGGCCGCATACCGATCATTTTAGTGTACAGATTGCAAGAAGTTGCATTTGTAGAGATCAACAAATGTTAGATAGGGTTTTATTTCTATTGCTCTGCACCAACTTGAACAACCAATTATAATAGTAAAAAACATTACTCCATAGCAAACACTGATGTAGTCTCAAAAATGCTTCGTACAGTATGCTTACCTTCAACCACGAGACTATAAATTCTGTCTTGCATTACATTGCGTGAAATCGCACACCAGAAGTTGCAGTCTGCTCGTCGGCCGATTCATCTTTTGCCTTATTTCATGAAATCTGTGGCAGCCAACTTCCGGTAAAAACTAGAGCTCGTACGTTTATTCCGTTTGTCAATTTTTTTCGGGAAGCACTAGTAATATGCTTTTTGCGAAATCCTAATGAGCTTTATATATTGTACGTAATTCCGATATGTATGGGCGCTAATGGATGCTGTCAGCTCTTATGGGAACGCATCAGCATTCAGTACAATTGGTCGTGCTGGTAGTTGATAGTAGTAGTGGATAATATTGGATCGAGTTGTCAATCGCAGACTTAGGTCGTGATGGCTTCATTCAAAATTGCGTGTCATCTGCCCAGAAACGGAGGAATTTCTACTAATCGCATGAAACTTCCACCTGGAAATTTGTCATTCAAACAAGCAGTCACTACCAGAACACGCGGTGAGGAATTACTATTTAAACCATAGCAAAGCTCCATCCTGTCCGAGTTCTGATCATTTGCCAATAACAGAATGGTTGAGAGGGTTAGCTTCTAACAGGAATCGCCCAGAACTTTACGAGGTGCACACTGCTGTTGAATCTCACCAATAATGGAACACACTGTCTGGCTCTACAGCACAGACTGATTTCACTTACACCATACATTTCCAACAGAAAGTTTCAAATTTTTACATCGCCTATAAAAAGGCATTAAAATTAGCATGTCTGTATTTTGGTCTTAGTTTGGACGCTCGAACTGTGGTCTAAGTGTAAGAATCCAGTAGCATTGGATTGCATATACATCGCACGCGGTCACAAGGCGACATGCTTCACACTAAATTGAACACAATTCGACTCAACATGTAACCACTGTAGTTGTTCTCCATTAACTATGTAGGTGGCGCAAGTCAAAAAAATATCTGTGAAATTTTCGTTTGTTTTGCCACCCAAAAGCCTAAAGAAACCAAAATTTTTTCCGATGTCTTTGTAAAAATCCTTATGATGGGTGGACTAAAGGGTTCTTAGTAGATCTGTTTTCCACGTCGACGGACATTTAAAGTGCACCAACATAAACCCAAATGCGACTTTTCAGATAAAACATTAAATTAGATTTGAAACATGTGCACAGAATTCCATTTCTTTTGACATTTTAGGCGCATTCGGATTCCCGCAATTCCTGGCTACCACTTAATCTTCAGTGGTGAGTTTTACTATTACCACTAATTATCATTTATTTTTGAAGAGCATGGTCACAAACATAAGAAGTGAATGCAAGCGATGAATGAGAAAGAGTAACAGGAGAATATGGGAGAAAAGAGAGCAACGTCTCATTCGAAATCATGCCAAGGACAGTGCCAGTCTGATGAGGTGAATCCCAAAATATGTAAAGATTTTGGTATGGGAACAGGCGTCTAAAGACTAACAACCAAAGAAAGGACAAACAATGGTGAATGCTCTTCAAGGCGCAGTATGCGCTAGCACAGTCAAGACTCGCACATCAGGCACAAAGTGACCGTCATACTGGGTCTGGGGTGAGATTAAATGGCAAAAATGTACCTTCAACGCCATGTGCCACGCATAAAAGTGTCATAAGTACGCAGGGAGCCCACAATGGCAAGCAAACACAAGTCACTGACTGCGACCTTAGGAAGTCCCAGTCCAATAACAGCCTTAGCGGATTGAGGAAAGCAGATCCCTCGATAAGAGATGATCA